CCCCTACCCCCACCTCAGTTCTGTGAAATAAACAGACATATTTGTTGGCAAAACAGGTGTGTTTATTTTACATTAGGAAGGGTGGTTAGGGAGGAGAAAGGGGAAGGAGGTGAGAGTGGAAGAAGGCCGCAGTGGGGCATGCCAGTGAGTTCAATCCTCCTCCACCTGGAAGCTCTCCTGCAGGGCTTCCCAGATCCAGATGGCCCCCCGCTGGGCTTCCCGGACAGCATCGGTGCGGGGCTACACGTACAGGCCAGCCAAGTGTTCCTCCTAAGCCATCCAGGCTGGCAGAAAAGCCTCCCCCTTCCTCTCTCATAAATTGTGCAGCACACAACATGCTGCCACCACGGGAGGAATATTGTGCTTAGCAAGGTCGAGAAGAGTGAGGAGGCGTCCAAAGGCCCCCTCCACCACAAGGCGGGCCCTGGTAAGCCTGGCATTGAAGGTCTGCTGGGAGCGGTTGAGATGTCCTGTGTACAGCTTCATCAGCCAGGGCTGTAGGGGGTAGGCCGCATCCCCCACCAGGCACACTGGCATGTCCACGTCCCTGACCCTGATGTGGCGGTCGGGGAAGAAGGTCCCAGCATGCAGCCTCTGGCACACGGAGGAGTTGCAGAACACCTGTGCGTCGTGTGCCTTGCCGGACCAGCCCACACTGATGTCTGTGAACTGGCCTTGGAGGTCAGACACTGCCTGCAGGAGCACAGAGAAGTAGCCCTTCCTGTTGATATACAGGGAGGCCTGGTGTTCTGGGGCACGGATGGGGATGTGCGTCCCGTCGATCGTCCCCCCCGCAGCTGGGGAAGCCGAGGGCGCCGAAGCCCTGGATGACTGCGTTCAGGTCGGTGAGGCAGACAACCCTGCAGAGTAGCACCCTGTTGATGGCCTTGACCACCTGCAGAGAGAGACACAAAACCAAGAATCACTGGGGTACCCCGGTTGCTGGGAGTGTTCATTCCCTGGCACTGCCCCGCACCCCACTCCCAGAAGCAACCCCCACTGCGATCCTGGCCAATGTGGGCAGTGTGTAGTACAGCTGGGACAGACCAAACCCTCCCATACAGGGCACTTTTGCCTCCTCCCCCCGGTTTTCCCTGGGGCAGCCCATCCCCTCCTTGCAGTCCCCTCTCCTTCCCCTGGTCCAGTGGCCGGTGAGTGCCGTACCTGCATGAGCACTGCTCTGACGGTGGATTTCCCCATGCTGAACTGGTTCCCCATGGATTGGTAGCTGTCCAGTGTGGAGAGCTTCTACAGGGCGATGGCCACCTGCTTGTGGAGAGGAATGGCAGGCCTCATGCGA